TAGACAGTGAATTTGGCAAAACACAGGCAGGGAATGTGATATGGCTCACTTAGAAAGGTAGAATCGAAAATATAAAAAAAGACCGTGAACTCAAATACTACTTGTTCCCTGGAGAGCCAATTTAATCCATCTATGTGGATTCCACAACGATGATATAAATTGATTGTAGGTCAGATACGCGATACCCAAACTCGACTGAGGCCTATACTCAGCAGCTCATCGAGATTATAAAGAAACCTGGACAATCGCTTGGTCTCTATCTAAGGGAGGGAAATGGCATTGATAGGACTCATGGCGTGTTTGCTAGTCGCTTCGGAGAAAACTCGGAGTTGGAAAAGTAAGTTACTTTGCTTGCTTGAACATTCGTTTTCTTTGTATGGTGGCAGGAAAATTTTTGAGAATTTTCTCATTTGGTATTTTGACTTGAATTTACCTTTCTCTGTGTTATTTTCGTTTTCTTTTCGTTTTGGCCATTATTTTTACCTCTCAAACTAAGGTGGTCGTTCTCGTTGTCTATTACAGTAGATTACCGAATTTCTCATTTACCGCACCCACTAAATCTGGGCCATCACACGAAAACTTCTCATTTTTCCGGTCCGCTTTGGCGTTTTGTGTGGCTGGCGACGATTATGGGTTTATTTTTCTTACTCTTTTCCATTTTTCTCTTTATCCCACCTCCCCATCTATAATTATGCGCCGTATGCTGGAGCTCTAATGTTCGGGCGGTTTTCGGTGAATTTGCTCGTAATAACCAAACGTAGTTTTGTGGATTGTTGGGAACCTTAGGCGGAGATGGTGTAGCGGCAAAAGGCCACTGACGACGCGCTCAGTCCGGTGGTCAAATCCCGCATCGGCATCCGCCTAGGCCAACCAAGACTACGGTGCCGGTAAATTGCTACTAGACTTTTCTGAGAGAATAAAAACACACTTCTACATCTGGTTGATCTTGTATAGGTCATACCACTTTTTGCAAACACTAGATTCCGAGGAACTTCTACGGTCGCAAGAATGTTATGACGCTCCTTTACCTTCGTCTTCACTTGTCGCATACAGCCAAGTCAAATGGTCAAATTGTCTACCATCGGAGGCCCTTTTCATTTGTGATAGCGCGAACATAATGGGAATGTATGGTTCCAATAGGCATACTGTATCAATTTTTTATATTTGTTCCAGTTCCCTTTGTCGTTTCTATGATTTGCTTCAAGTGTGCCTCACTGGTGAATTTCGATTCTCTTTTTTTGGAGCAGGCGAATGCTGTATGGCATTCCATGCTCGTGTCTTGTTGCTTTAATTACTTTGTTCTGTGCCACTAGCGTCAATCAGTACTATCGTACAGAACTCACCTCCCTAAGATTTCTAGCCATCTTACCACTAAATGGAGAAAATTTCTCGAGAAAGTTTCGAGAAGAAAGTTTGTGGAATGAGTGGTTCTCCATGTATCCAATGAAACCCTTCGTATTGTCTGGATCTGAGTTTTGGTAAAAGTCCCCAAAGGTCCCCTGGAAGGAGAGGAGAAGGCGATTGATCCGGGTGTTCCCAACACTCACGAGAAGGCACTTATTTTCTCGAATGAACACCTACATGAAGGAAATCGTTACTGTCGCGAAGAATTGTGGTCGTTCGTTTTATAAATCGTTATGTGCGATTTTGGTGAAATGGGTACAGGGTACAGCATCGTTGTCTAGGGAAGGGAGGATCGTATTTGGTCGCTGGGAGAGAGGGAGGTCGTATGTGCCTTTGAGAGAAATTCGTTCGCGTTGTTTTCTCGGGTTGTTGACTTTTGCGTGATTTTTTCCTGTTTCATGTGCACTATATCCCCCTCCGCCCGACGGAAGATTTTTGAGTGAATGTGGGAAATGTGTAGGTCAGTGTTGGAGAAGGGGTGGGGTTGTACCTACACCACCACTTCACACACCGCGATGCTGTGCCCTGAATGGGTCTGCGATTCCCATGGCGTTGAAATGACTGCTTTCATAGAAGCATGATTTCAGCGTTGTGGTGTGGAGAGAGGGCATACTCTCTACTTCCCTTCAAAATTGTAGTGACTTATTTGATGCGATTTGGCCTAAATGACTTGCTGAGGCCAGCCAATTCATAATTGAGTATTGTTATCCTCGCAGACGAATCTGGCATTAATTTACCGTCCCCGGGAGACAGGCGGCTTTGTTGGACTTTGAGCCGGTCCGCCATTTAACTACCGGATCGTGTTAAGCGTGCCTTTTGCCACTACACAACCTCAACCTAACAGGTAGACTTCAAAAACCATCTAGTTCCTTTCCTTTGTCTGATGGACCATAAGTTGCTGGCTAGTTGGCGTGCGCAGGATATTCCGTGTTCTTTGCTGCTTTGAAGTTCATGTGAGATATTCGAGAAACTTAACATGGTTTAAAGTTTATGTCAATATTCTTTCCAGGTTTTATTATTGGCTGCATAATCCCATTTTTGTTGAATTCGCGCTATTGTTCATCTGGGAGTTGCCCCCTCCCACGATTCTCATATGAAATACGTTGCAGATATGGTGATGTAATTCGGCCTGGCGATGAAATTCTCTCCATCAATAACGTCGAGGTTTCCTCAATGTCCATAGACGATGTTGTGCTCATATTGAGTATTCCGCGAAGGCTTCTGCTGCGGATACGGTAACCCTGCTTCTTTGTTTTTTTTAGTTTCTTTGAGAATTATTGTAGGCAAGATTTTTACTGCACAGGTAAGGACTCTGCAGTTCTATCGAACTTTGAAGTTTCAATGTATTTGCTCCTCATCTCTGCAAGTTAGCTTTGTTTTTGAAGATATCTAAAAAATCGTCGAGATCAGCAAGCTGCCACGAAGTCATCTGAGCGTCCAGTTGTCGTCTTTCACAAGGTGCGTGGATCTCATTCTTACACTTTTCTGGTTTTTTTTTCCATGGCTGCTGCATTTTAATGTGTTTTCCTGTCTTTGATGTCCATGTTGTAAGCGTCTGAACATCTCAGACAAATGGTTTGTTTTATGGTTTTCGTAAGATGAGATGAAGGTTTTCTTCTCTTGGACGCTCATATTTCACGGAAAACCCCCTCTGTGGTGTTTTATTGCACGAGCGGAGATGTCAGAAATGCGATATCATAAGTGTGCCCGAGGTTGTCCCTTAGTACGCAAAAACACTACTGAAATTTTTGCATGTCGAGAGGTTGTTCTTCCGGAAGATGAATTTACATGAGGACCAAAGGTGTCCAGAACAGGGCACGTGGTACGTTGAGGATCCCCAGTAATGGAAAGGTCGAATCTGATCGTCGAAGAGAAGGGAGTTTGGTTTTGTGAAGAATGCTTCCGGTTGTTGGCTTTTCTCGGTTTTTTTTTCGTTTCAAGTGCGTTGTACACCGCGTCCCCCTCCTGTACTCTCCCCTTCCCCTCCCTCGACGGTAGTTCTGGGGAAACAGAGGATTAAGAGGAGGGATTTCTGAGAAGTTCTCCGAGAAAAAGTTGGGAAAATTAAGGAAGATCATATCTAGTATGGGCGATAGGAAGAGGGGGAAGGCGGATCCATCAGAGAAAGAAATTTTGAGGGAGGTCGTACTTTGCAAAAATTTTATCTAACAGCAAGACGTGCCATGGTCCAGAGTCGTTTTTGGTGAAGGCTCCATCATATTACTTTACGAAGTAATAAAAATCACTGTAAATTTTACTTTCATTATGAATGGCCAGAAAGGATTTTTGCTCAAGCCTAAAAGTAGAAGAAGCCTCGGAGTGGATGATCTGGTTTAGGAACTAGATTTCTTTTTCTCCTAGTTTGATCTAAAGGATTGTTGGTTGGTGGGTGGTGGGGAATTCTCATCCCCGTGGCCAACAATCCTTTCGTGGTTCATTCCAGCACTCACTTCGGTCCACTTGGGAAAAATCGAAGAATTCGTGTGCAAACGAAACAAAACTAGTTCCAAAGATCCTAGAATTGCGGTTGCACGATCTTTTGCTTCAAAGAACCCTACAGTATTGTAGTAGCGCCTGCAAAAATCGCTTAGTTGACTGAAATATCCACCGATCACTAAAATTTGAAAATCCTTTTGCTGATTTTTAAGCGCATGTGGAGGATTTTTTTTCCTGAGCATCATAAAAGCTATCTTGATTGGAAAGATATTGGAGAAATAGAGGAAATATTGAAGAATGTTTGTGGAAATAACGAAATTATCGCCAAGAAAGTGTGGAAAGGTGAAGCAACGGAAAGGAAACCTGGGAATCAATTTTTCTTGATTCCCAGGTTTCCTTTCCGTTTCTCTCTAGGCTTAAAAGCTTGTCAAAAATTACTATTAGCTTGATTTGTCCTCAGACACATATATGGCGTCTTCTGGATATTCCACACAGGCTACATCCTGAGGAAGGGAGAGGATTTTGCAGGATACGATCGCTCGCCCTCAAATTTCCTCTAGTAACAACCTCCCTTCTCCATGTTATGTTATGTTATGTTTATTACATGCCGAGACATGTGATTGAAGATGAGACATAAAATTGAATAGCAACATCCATCCCCCATTCTGTCTTCTTCCTGGTTTCTCCGAACCTCCTACCTTTTTTTAGTTTCTACTTACTTGCTTCCTCAAAAGAAAAAAAATTGTCTCGTTGACTGGTGAGGGGTTCCATACAGCGCACGTGAAAGGGGGAATCTGAGGAAATTCAGTAAAGAAGTCAGTCGAAAACATTTCTTACAAAGGGTACGAAGCTCCTCGCTGGGGATCCCCAACGTATGCCGTTCGCTGATCCTGCCTCTGTTTTCAAATAAAATTTAGAAATTTTTGCTGTAAAGGACTACATTTGCATTATTGTTTTGATTAAAGACTCTATTTCCGTTTACTGCTCATTATCGCATTGGTATTTACAAAACTTCCGAGTCTATTGCTTTTCTGTGGCCGTAAACAACTGGGTATAATTAACCATAATATTTGGAGCAGCTCGGAACCACACGGCTGGTAGACCAGTGTGAAGCAAGCTACCGTTTTCTCAAGGCGTACTAAAACATATTTTAATTGAACTTGTTTGTTATGGGAGAAGGGCGGAAGGCCACCCTAGTAGTGCGGTGGTTAAACCAATAGCCCATTAGGCGTGAGGTGAAAGATCAGGACTGCCTAAAGTCAGGTGTTTTCCAATAATTCTGCTTTCATGCGATATTTTGTTATTTTTTTCATGTGTTTGCCTTTCTAAGCTTTCAAGCCTTTTTCTCGTCTTGCTTTGTAGGCATTTCTTCCGATATCGAATGCCGAAAATCCTAAAGCTGCTTGACCCGTGATCTCTAGAAGAGAGTCCCACGTTCAAGCAACTCCGAGGCGTCCTCCTTCATAAAAGTTGTCTGCTCCTCAGTCTCTATGACTGCACCACTTTGCCGCTACACAATAAGTCACGAAAGCGCTGCGGCCCTCAGAAGAGGAAGTTCTGACGCCTTCTTGGTTGTTCTGTCTTCCAAAACTCAAAGGCTATTTCCTATCAAAAGTTCAGTTTTTACACCGTATTTCATCGTTTTTTTTAATTGTCAGTTGGTATAGGCATTGGATAATTGAACGCCCCTATCCTTGATATGTAATCGCGAGGTTGTCTCTTACTCAAGTAGCACCATTTTACTTTTGTATCGGAGTTTCGAAATCATCTTACAGAGGAACTACTCAACTTGTATGATTATTTACGATTTGAATGTTGTGGTTCTGACGCACTTTTTTCTAAGAAGAATCCTCCTCTCAACCGTCTCTCTAAATAAATCAGCTATTTCAGTTCGAGGAACGGTCCGAAGAATCAGCGAGTGGTTCGATTCTCACGCAACCGACCCCAACCGCACAAACATGGTTGGGTAAGAAAGCGCGGCAACAGCAGCAGGTATGTAGAAACCATTCTTTCGTTTCAATTAGGGTCTTTTTTCTTCCCCCTTGGTAATATCTCTTGGCCCTCGTTGTCTTTTGTTCTTCGCCTGTTTAACCATGTGCTCATCTAGCTGTTATTACACCTCTTTCTACCGTTTGCATGTTCTTGATTATCAATACATAGTTGACAGAATCGGCTTCTACAACACTGTGCGAGCATTGTTGCTGGGCAAAGCTTTGTCATCGCATCACAGCTTTCAAGAATATTTCAAAAATTCCTGGAAGTTCAGGAATTCATGTTCTTCGTTCTCTAACTGGAAACCGTTTTCAGTCGGTTAAGTAAAACTACCAAAACTGTGACGTCATCAAACATTCTTCAGGACGATGTTCTAAAAGCAGTTTTGTCTTGCGTTTGAGCCTCATAATGTGCAGCAGAGGGTCTTTTTCTCTGCCTTGGTGGAATATATGAATTCAATAACACCCTTATCGTTTCTCCTGGGCATAATTGTTCCCAATGATTACTGTCTTTTTCGAATGGCCCTAATAACCTTAGATGGGGCTTTGCCTCAGAGGTTTCCCTTGCAGAACTAGATTTTCCGTGATTGGGATGGAGACCATCTCCTAATGGGGGGGGGGAGGAAGGAAATCCGGGTGAGCGATCTAGTTTAAAAATGGTGTTCGGGTGAAGTTGATCCCCATTCTCCACATTGATCACTTCGAATGCCCCGAACTTCTTGGCGCCTCAATTTTTTTTGTGATTTTTTCGTATTTCTGATCAATCTCGGCTATTCTCCTATTGTTTTCTGGGGTACACGCCTTACCTATAACAAACTTGTTCAGCACCACGGGGCGTCGCGCAAAAGTTCTGGTCACAGCAGCAGCACTTGTAGCCTTTTTTGTATGCTCTACTATCCCTCTCCCCTCTCTACGACCCCCCTCCGCCCCGATTGATTTCTGGACAACGTATTTTCATTCCGACTCTAAATTTCTAGCGTTTTCATCGGATTTTTAAACATGAGCTTACTACTGTTCTAAAGAACCTAACGACTGGAGTACTAGTCATTCAAAGGTGCGATGTACGCTCACCTTTCCCGGTTCATGCCATATTCCTTTGATCTGATCTTTGCCACGTGCTGAGTGAACGCGTTCGCAGCTGTGGAACAGAGGCATTTTTGTCACTCGAAAGTGTACCAAGCTGAGATCAAGGGGGTGATAGCTAGATGCCGTTCGGGCTCCACTTACAGGCAAAACACGCAGTCACAAAGCGCCGCAGACCGGGGATACGCCTAACTACATATGTGTAGCCATACACATTTCCTGTCTGCTCCGGGTATGGAGCGTTACTTTCTAGTGTGACTCGAAAGATAGAGATGGCCTCACTTTCTAATCGTGACGGTTGTAGCGCGCGCACTAGCCAGAGTATTTCCTACTTCCTATTTCCTAAAGCTTGACTAGACAGACACAGCAAGAAATAGCTAGTTGACTCGAAAGATAGAGATGCAAACTGGTAGAGGGTCGAAAAAGTCAGCGCGCTATGCACTGCCTCGTTGAGGGGATTGACTTCTAGTGCGAGTACTGTGTATACACTGATGAAATGTGATTTGCACGGCCCTGGTGAAATTGGACTCTTAACAGCCTAGCTGGGGGCCGCTCTCTCCCTTGATAAAAGCCACGTTTGCTTGCGTTCTTTCGGCGTCTTGCCAGCATTTGGGACCTTGGCACGTTGTGAGCCAGTGGGTGGAGTCCAAAACTCCGCCGGGTCCAGCTCTTCAGGTGAAAAGCTTCGTTTTATGCACGTTCGAGTGATGAAAGTGACACAGATTTACAGCTGCGTGCCGACCACCTTGCTCATAATACGGTTAATGCTGGCAAGTGGGCATTGCGTAATTTTCAGGGCATGAAATTATCCATTGGTAGAACAGTTGATACTTACAAGGCAGTTTCTCTGTCCGTTTTCAGGCTTTGTTATGTTTGTAGGGGTGCAATGCTGACAGATTTTCGTCGTTCTTTTTCACTACTTGTCTTCCTTATCCATCTTTCCTTTCCTCTTCATGCCTTAAGTTTTGGAGAAATGTTATCGACATCTCTGTGGTGAACAGTTAAAAAAAAAAAATTCAAATTTTTATGAACTATAGATCTACACTTTACTATATTCTTCAAAATTTTGCGGAAGAAAAAGGAGCTATTGTCAGCTAGCAGAAGATTGAAAGACGGGATTTTTTCCCGTATGAGAAGTTTCAGATGAAATCCTGTGAAAGGTAAATCCTCTGAGAGGAGCTGCCACAGTAAATAGCTATGACAAGAACAACAGTCACGGTTAAAAAATTTAAGGCGGCGTGCACTCCTAGGAGTGCATGCAAAAACTGCTCTTTCCGACCATTCGTACCGTCCTGGCATATATTTCTATTTTTTGCCAACTTTTTGATATTTTGCTAACAACTATTCACAAAAATTTCACACTATTTGTTGAAATCCCAAACATTAATACAAGGAGAAAAATGTAATAAATACCAAAGAACGGATAAAGTTTCCGGCGCAAAACCGGGCTGCTGCCGCCGTGTGGCCAGTTTCGGTTAATAGCAAGTGCGGTGTGCTCGACTTCTCCCTTAGTGTGGACACTGAGAAACCACTCCGCATAAACCTTTTTCTTTCTTGACTGTCTCTTACCTCGCGTTGTATAACCTCATTGGAAACTTTGAGAATGCGTCAAACTATTTTATAGTTATTCGTCCTTTTCATTTCAACTGCACCGCTTTCCTTTCTGCTTATGGTTCCGAATTTAATTAATTCCATAATCCGCAAACATTGATTCTAAAGAAGAAACTAATGGAATTACACGCTGGATCACTGCTGTTACAGACTGACCTTTTGAAGGGTAGAAGCAACTTCCGTGTCTGTTTCGTCAAGGTGGGAGTTAAAAAAGAAAATGTATTAGTGGCTGATGACCCTTGTTTCTATCAACAGTTACAACACAATACAAGATTTATTATCTTCCTTACCAAAAATGTAGCAACAAGTAGAAATAACAGGTAATAACAGAAGGCAGGCAAATTACAAGCTACTTCAGAAGTTGAGTATCAGTGTGCGGGTAGGCAAAACGTGGGGACGGCAGCTCGGGAGTTGCAGGAGCGGACGATGGGGTGAAACGGCAGCTTGTTGACTCGGAGCTAACTCGAACTCGAAGACTAAGACTTTCGAAATCCGGCGGCCCCTTATAGCCGCTTTCGCGCCCATATCGATGTGCGACTGTTTTGGCGCCCGTCGATCCTCGGGCTCGATCACAAGTTTGACAATAAAAATGGGGGAAAAAGACAGGCCGTTGTACATAAATTGTCCATTCAATTGGAGTGGAAACTCCAACTGTTGAAAAGCAAATGGGTCAAGGGCGGTGGGTATGATAAAAGTTATCGAGTTTTTGAACTGTAGTGCGCGCAGGGCACAGCATTCGATGGGGATTTTGGTCGAGCTCGTACGACCCCCCCCTTTTTGGGGGGTTCGGTACGACCCCCCCCCCTTTTTTTTGGTTTGGTTTTTTTCACACAAAAACACAAGCTTCAGACTTCAGCTTCATTGTAAAACAAAAACAACTATATACATGGGAAAAAAAAGTCCTAGTTTTAGTGAGCGTTCAGGAATAGCTTCGAGTTGTTATTTATTGTTCCCTACGTGAATCTGAAAAAAATCGAGAGGAAATAAACACAACTCAAAGCTATTTTGAACGCTCACTAAAACTAGGAAAACTTATGAGCGCAAAGGAAGGAAAAAGGAGAAAAAAAACAAACAGGAACAATAAACATGAACGATAAATAAATGGCATGTTGCCTAATCAAACTCGAAGAATCTCAACGATTTGTTAAAACAAATGGAAATCCAGTTGTTGTGCGCAGGACCCCAGTGCACTTGATTTGAGGGGCAGAATTTCCGCAGAAATCGTACGGTAGCAGAGTTGGGTATGAATTGCAGCTTTGACTGGAGCAAACGGCTATTAGCCATGGAGCGAGAATTTTCAGCAAAGTAGGGTGTCTTTGAAGGACCATAACTTCCTCAAAAGCGGACCTGTGGGGAAGAGGAAGAGGTATTTTTTTTTTTTGTTAAATTAGAAGGTTTGATCTTCCTGAAAGTACTAAAATGTTCATGAAGGTCGCGAAAATCACAGAGAAATCTGCCATAGGGATTCGTTGGGGAGTGAAGGGTTGAAGTTCGAGTTGAATTTTATTTATATTCTATATTATTTTTTTTTTTGTAAGCTCACCATTTCAGCAAAATCTGAGACGGATCCGAGCTTCTCAGAATTTTCTAAAACCTATTGAACTGTTTTTCTCTATTATCTTCTTTGTTGATTCGTTATGGTTATCTTTCTGTTTCGGATGTTTGGGTTTTGTATTTCTTTTTTGGTTATTTATTCTCTTCTTTTTTGCTCTTTTCTTGCTGGTATATATAATTCTCTTCGTTTCTCTGTTGTCATTCTTTCTGTTTTTCTATAGTGTAGTTCGGTTTTTGTTATTTATGGTTCTTTAGGACTGTTTTTTTTTTTTTTTTTTTTTTTCTTATGTTATTGTTTATATCTTTATTCTGTGGGGACAGGAGCAGGATATTGGTTTTTTATTGTTCTTCTTTCTTTTTTTTTTTTTTTTTTTTTTTTTTTTTTTTTTTTTTTTTTTTTTTTTTTTTTTTTTTTTTTTTTTTTTTTTTTTTTTTTTTTTTTTTTCCGCGCACTGAGGGCGCGCAGAGGTGATGGGATGGTGCAACTTGTGCGTAATGTCTGTTCACGCGAGCAAATGTGTCTATAAGGTTCAGGGAGGTCCATGGCGAGCCTGTGCACTTGTTTACAGTGTTTTCCGTTGCGTATGATGGAACATGTCCCTGTCAACGCTGCCAGATCGGTCCGCCAATTGCTGCCCGAAAGAGAGAGAGCGGGAGAGAACGCCTATACGAACGATATGGTAGTCCTGTCGCTTGTCGAGAAAAAAACAGGTTGGCTCAGCGTCAAGCGCGACCGCGGACACGCCATATCATTGGCAGCGAACCAGAGTTTGAGTTGTACTGTTTAGTCACCAACGGACTTACGATTAATGTCGACTTATTAAAATAAAATTTTTGCCCCAGTTATTTCGATAGTTTGATGAATGAAAGTTTTGTACTATTTTTTTGCATATCCGAGTTCTCTACAAGTTTCGTTGTACAGGACTCAGCACATTGACAATTTGCGCTGCTCGTTACTGGCTGCCGCACTCACTACGACCCCCCTCTCCTGGCGGCCAAATACGACCCCCCTGTTGGGGATTCCCCAACCAACGATGTGCCCTGGTGATTG